GCCTTCTTTCTTTTTCTCTCTTCAATAATTTTCATGGTATCTGCTGATATCCATTCCTTCGCTTGTCTTTTGATAGGGCCTAGCACTTCTTCGCATGTTGATGTTAATATACTTTTTGTTTTTTTCCCATGTTTCCTCTATCGTCTCTTCTTCTATTAGTTCTTGTAGTACCTGAAACCTATTGGATATATGAAGTTTAAATTCGTTGAGTTTAGATGGGTCCTTTAGCAGGCCTGTGTTGTACCTGTATTTCCTTTTGTTTTCCAACATGATTTTCTTCAGCTTGAGTTTTACTTTAGCTACCAGTAGGTGATGGTCTGAAGCAACATCAGCTCCTCTCTTGACGCGTACATCCTGAAGTGATCTCCTGAACTTTTTTATGATACATATATGGTCTATTTGGTTTTCTGTAGATAGGTCGGGTGATACCCAAGTAGCTTTATGTATCCTTTTGTGATGAAAGAGACTACCGCCAATGACTAAATTATTTGTGGCACACAAGTCAGCAAATCTTTCTCCGTTTTCGTTCATCTCACCTAAACCCTGCTGTCCCATACATTCTTCATATCCTCTGTTGTCGCTTCCAATCTTAGCATTGAAGTCGCCCATGAGTATAAGGATGTTTCTTCTTGGGCGGTTCTGGATAATGGTCATTAGCCTGTTGTAGAATTCGTCTTTGTCCTCCTCTTTGCTGTCATTTGTTGGGGCGTAGGCCTGTATTATGTCCATGTTTATTCGTCTTATTTTAGTTTTAAAGGTAGCTGTTATGATCCGCGGGCAGTGTGCCTCCCATCCAATGAGAGCCCTTTGTGCTTGGTTTGATAGCATGAGTGCAACTCCTTGAGTATGTGGTGCATTTTCATCCTCATGACCTGAGTACAGCAGTAGCTCTCCTGATATCAGCCTTTTTTGTCCTGAGCCAGTCCACCTTGATTCGCTGACACCCAGGATAGCTATTTTATAGCGTCTCATTTCTGCTGCTACTTGGGTTGCTTTTCCAGCTTCGTACTTCGTGCGGACATTCCAAGCTCCAATATTGATGGTGGTCCTAGTGGAAATAATGGTGGTCGACCTGGTAGTTTCCAATACATATTGGCTTTCACCACCCGGCTTCATGAATTCTCCATCGGGAGATCCATTTTTCCCCTGGTCCGAGCTGTCTTTGTTTCTCTCTGTCTGCGTTTCTGTAGCGATAGTTGTTTTACGAGATAAGGTTGCTGACCTTATGCTCAACCCCCAACCTGGAGGACCAGGGTGCTAGCTTTCGTCTGACCCCTACCCGCGCAGACCTTCCCAGCTTGGTTGAACCTGCCAGGAGTTAACACTCCCGCTGGTATAGCTCTGGGGGTCTTCAGGGTACGCAAGCTGCCAAGCCACGACAAGACCCTAGCACCAGATGACAGGAAGTGGGTGTATTAAATGGCAAAAATCTTTTTTTTCTTTTGATGTTACCCTTTTAGTTTCTGTAAGTGCTAATGATGTTAGCAAAGTTGTTTGATGATCACATTCCTTCTTATTTAATGTATTCTCTTTTAAAGCATTTGAAATTGCCATACCACCATAATCATTTATCTAGTTACAAATACTTTGTTTAGGCAACTCTGACTGATAATGGACTGCATCTTCTCCATCTTTTATATTATCTTCATTTTTCTTATTTTATATGGCCTTAAGTCATCATTCACAGACTCTTCAGGCCAACCATTCTTACAGTACTCATATACTTTTATTAAGCACTCATCTTTTTGTGTTTCTCTTTTAACATCATTCACATTTATATTGGAGTTATCCATGATAGTGAAAAGAACAAATACATCTTCTGGTACATAACTAAGGCTTTGGTTTTTTAAAGGTAAACGACTAAGACTATCTGCACTATTCTCAGATCCAGGTTTGTATTTCAATTCATAATTGTATGCGGCTAGTGTGATAGCCCATCTTTGAATCCTTGGTGAGGCATGCTCAGGTAGGGGTTTGTTTTCCCCAAACAACCCTAGCAATGGTTTATGATCTGTAAAGATGGTGAACTCCCTACCAAACAGAAACTTGTGAAATTTCTTAACACCAAAAATGATGCCTAAGCCTTCCCTATCTAACTGAGAATAATTTTTCTCAGCCTGGTTCAAAGATCTACTGGCAAAAGCAATGGGTCTGTCACCATTTTCATCTATGTGTGATAAAACTACTCCTACACCTTCTGGTGAAGCATCACATGTTAAGATAAGTCTTTTCCCTGGGTCATAGTGAGTTAGTAAGGTGTCAGAAGACAAAGCTTCTTTTGCTGCATTAAAAGCAGCATCTTGTTGTTTACCCCAGTGCCAAGTTGCATTTTTCTGCAGCAGCTTGTACAGTGGTGATAATTTACCAGACAGATTCCCTATGAACTTCGCATAGTAATTTATCAAGCCCAAAAAAGCTCTTAACTGTTGGGTATTTTCAGGTTTGGGTGCATCTTTAATGGCTTTTGTTTTCTCAGGTTGAGGTCTGATGCCTTGCTTGCTTAAAATATAACCAAGAAAACTAATATCTGTCAGCATGAATTGACATTTATCTTTGTTTATCTTTAAACCTTTTTCACCAACTATTTTCAAGACTTTATCAAGTGTTTTAAGATGTTCAGTGTCATTCTTACCAGTTATGTACACATTGTCAAAGTAAACACAAACATTTGGAATATCCTTAAAAATACTGTCCATGACAGCCTGGAAAATTCCAGGGCTAGATGATATATCAAAACATAGTCTTTCATATTGGTAGAGTCCTTTATGTGCGTTTATTGTCGTATAGACTTTCGAATCTGGATGCAGTTCTAATTGAGTGTAAGCATGACTAAAGTCCATTTCAGTGAATTTGTCTCCTCCTGCTAAATTCAAAGAAATTTCCTCAATGTTAGGAATAGGGTACCTATTTAGCTCTATTTGCTTATTCAGTGTAGCTTTATAGTCTCCACAAATTCTTACAGAACCATCCTTCTTTAACACTGGCACAATGGGCGTTGCCCAATCGGAATAGTCTACCTTCTTTATGATGCCATTAGATTCCAATCTACTTAGCTCATTTTCAATTTTATCCCTCATTGCATAAGGTGGAACTCTAGCTTTGCAGTATCTTGGATTTGTGTCTTTAATGCTTATCTTCACTGTCCTATCATTTAGTAATCCTGAACTACCAAAGACACCTTCATTTTCAGATATAACTTTATATATTGAAGTAAAACTAGATTCTCTTGCTTTGTTCACTGAAAAATACTCCCCCAGTCTAACTTAAGATCAACTAACCAGTTCCTACCTAGTAATGGTGGTCCATTTCCTTCAACCACAAGAAGAGGAAGTTTAACACTTTGACCATTATAGCTTACATGAACCATACACTCTCCTATCACCGGAACATTGTCACCTGTGTATGTTGTTAGGCACTTGTGACATGGTTGTAGGGGCACTGATCCTCCTGTGACAGCGTCAAAGTCCTTCTTTGTGATGACAGTTAGAGATGCTCCAGTGTCAAGTTGGAAGATGATGCTCTTACCGTTGATATAAACTGGTACGTTAATGGGAGCATGACTTATTGATTTCACAGAGAACAGGTTGAACTCCGGCTGCGAATCAGTTTGAGCATTTTCACTGGTAGAGTGGTTCATTGGTTGGGTTAGGTTGTCTTGGTGACAGTTAACATAGTGCTGCCTTTGGTTGCGGTACTGTCTTGACTGGCTAGATTTAGCAACAGACGAAGACTTTGCAAAGCAGGCCTTGGCAATGTGACCTTGCTTACTGTGCTTATAGCAAGTTGCTGACTTGAACTTGCATCGATGAATTGCATGGGGAGCGTTGCATCGATGACATTTTTGATAATTATTACTAGCTTTAGATCTAGGATTTGAACGTGCAGGCTGTTTAGCATAAGTTGAAATGCTCTGATGGGGTTGGTGTTTGTTGACTAACCTGCTGTCTACTGCACGGATCCCTGAGGGCGTTAGAGATCTTGCCGCCTCGGATGACTGCTGGAATGAAGTTGCTAGTTGTATTGCTTTTTCCAATGTTAGGTCTGACTCGAGAAACAACTTTCTTTGAACATCAGGGCTGTTTACACCTATCACAAACTTTTCACATAGTCTGTCAGACAGCGTGTCCCCGAATTCACAAAATTCACTTAGATGACGTAAAGCAGCAACATATTCTGATATTGATTCGTTTGGTTGACGAGTCCTACCGTCAAATCTGGCTCTACACAGGAACTTGGGTGGTGCGGGCGCATGGTGGTCTGTTAGCAGTTTGCTCAGCTCGTTAAAGCTCTTGGTAGCTGGACTAGCTGGTGCGCATAAGTCCTTTAATAGCCTAAATTGTTGAGGCCCTATGACTGTTAACAAAACAGCTCTCTTTTTGGCTTCTATCGTCACGTCGTTAGCTTCAAGGTAAAAGCTTAACCTATCTAGATAATTATGAATGGTTTCATCATTCGAATCAAATTCTTTTATTTGGCCATACAGCGCCATTATCCTAGAAATACTTAGCCAATATGCTCTAGCAAGCTTCTTTTTAAGTAAGCATGTGCTCTTTTTCTGTGGATGATTTATCCTCGTCGCCAATTGAGGTAGATTGAGCTGTTTCCATTATTATACACTGACGCAGAAGCCACGTTGATTGTTAACTAGTCTTTTATTCAGCCACCATGACGGAACAGGAACAGGAAGTCACCAGACATAAACAAGGGACATCACCCAAAACAACATTATAAATATAAGACTAATACAAGAAGAGTGAGTTCCCTTGACTTCACAATTCTCAATATATTACACCCTCCATCCCTAGGAATTTGATGTCATTATTGAGAGGCTCTAATATCACCATATTTCCAAGCAGCACTTAATTTCCAGAAAGATCTAATTTATTCTTAAAGTTTTGGAAAAGAAATTGAAAACAGTTTGTTTCATTTTAAAGTCAACGTTTATTTTTATTTTGATGCCAATTATTTGTTGTACTTCTATATTAATGAAGTGTTACATCATGACTGTGATTTATAAGGTACAGTTGCATAAACATTTGTAAGACTATTGAAGCCAATGCCTTAGAGATCAGTCTTTTCATTAAATGTTTAAAAACTGATAATTTATCTTTCAGGACAAAAGTAAAAACATAACCTCAAAATCTACTAGTAGCTCAAGTTCAAGCAGTTCAAGCTCTTCTAGTTCAACCAGTAGCTCTGAAAGTGAACAAGATTCTTCTGGGGCTGAAAACAGAAACAAGAATGAAAAGCCTACTAACAAAATTGGAAATATAAATAAATGTATTAAACGTCAAGGCAAAGACTCGGGATGTAACATTAAAAAGGATTTTACAACCCAAGCAATAAAAAAAACAGAAAAAGAAAAAACCGTTAAAGTGAAAAAACAAGATGAGAAAAAAAAGAAAAAAGAAAAAAAGGGTACTAAATTATCTTCTAAAGTTATTGATGGTGAAAAAATAACAAAATCGGAAAAAGAAAAAGGAATTAACCTCCTAAAAGATATAAACAATGATGAATATTATTCGGAGGAAGAATTACATGAAGTACCAGTTTTTTATAAATAGTTAACCCATGTAGGTCTATATATGTCATTAAAGTATCAGGCTATGGCCTGTTTGTTGCTGGTCCACTCTTCACACTAATTTCCACTAATTTATAATTCTAAAGGTAATTAGAACTACAGAGATTTCCGGAACAGTAGGCATATAACTCATAATTTAAATTACATTAACTCTTAAAATTAATTTTTACATTTAATTAGAATACACACCTTAATTTGAAACTTAATTTTTTACTAAAACGAATGCTATACTACCTCATTTTCTGTTTATGTTTAAAATAGTATACAGTTGTTTGAAAAATAATAATTTTTTAAAAGTTACCTACCTTGAAATTTGAAAGAATGACGTAGTCTTTGTTTACTTTGTATTAAAAAACAGTTGCTATGCTTATATAAGAAAATACGGCTTCTGAGCAAATCTAACTACCATAATAGTTTGTTTTTTTTCCGAAGGGATCATCGTATTTTTGTTACCATCCATGGTCGGTCTACGACCTCACAAAATAGTTTATCCATAAGGCCGATTCATTTACCCAGGTAATTGGAAAAAATGATGTACAGAGTTAAAGTTTCAAAACACTCTTTTGAAAAAAGTCATAGTTTTTCACCAAATTAACAATGTTTATATTGGAAATTCGGACCGGTCAGTTGTAAAAGGTCTTCCGGAATTTTCCCGAAGATAACGCCTATATTATAGTGACCCACGCGGGTATGTCTACGACCTCAGGAGTTATGATTGGGTTTGTACGTCCAGATAATTGTATTTATTTATTTTTTACAAAACGGTACTGTTTATATAAAGAAATATGGCCTCTGGTAAGTTAAAACATTTTTCCGGAATTTTCCAGAGGGTAGCACAATTTTTTTCCTGACCCCTGTGTCCGATGTACATCTACAAGAGTTCTCAAAAGTTCCCTACGTGGGAATTTTTTTTTCGATTTATAGCCGATCAGTCGAGGTCCGTTTTGAACCCCTCTTCGTAGACTTTTCGGCCAACCGGCACCGACCCTAGTGTTCTATTGACCCAAGGCAGGATCCTGCCAAATTTGACGCGCCTGCGGCACCAGGAAGTGCCCTATCGCTTTGCTTTATATATATAGATAAAATAAGTCACAACACAGTGGTATTAGTAACATTTGTTTGCTGTGATCAGATAGGTCAAGTTACTGAAGACATGAGGGTCATCCATAACCAATGTCAGAATGCTAAAACCCGGGAGGGAGGGGTATTATTGGGATAAGGGAGGTTCTGAAAGTGTTACGACTCTTCTAAAAAAAGTTTTAATAACTAGGTTTTATATACTAGTGCACTAAAAAGAAGAACATACATAATTTTTTTAAATATATAACTATGCAAATATTTAAATAACTACTAGACTAACCATTATCCTTTGGATAACTATGGGTTTACGGGTCATTTATAAATGACGTCATGCTTGTTTAAAGATTTCTTTCTTCCTCTCCCTACTGCCACACATCGTCACAAAAAATATATCCCACATTTATTCAAAATGTCACACCTCAGCCAACATGTTTTTGTTTTTCAAAAACACCATCTTTGGCTGAGGAAGTACTGGCCACACTATCCCTTCACATGCTAAATTCACATAATAATGTACACCTGCCCCCTTGTCTCGCCAGGTCCAATAGACAACTGTACTATACACAATATCTAAAAAGTCACATTTCAGCTTACAAGTTTTGGCACAGTTTATACTTTTTCGCATAATGTAAAGAAAATATTAAATACCCGTGCATTTCTAAAACATATTAAACGGATCAATGTCTAATAATATTTTCGTTTAGATTCCTAGAAAAACTAGATACATTTTAATAACAGTAGGGTCGAAAAAAGAAATTAATTGTTTAATAATTATGCCAGGAAATGTAATTTAAAAAGAAATCCAACTCACTCAATTAAAAAAACATGTGAATAATGCTAATTCCTCGGAGGTCCAAGAAGGCGTTATTGTTGTAATATAATTAGGTTCCCAGAAAGATGCGCAACGGAAATATGTGCAACAGAAAAAAGCGCATCAACATTCATTCGCACCAAAATACCCTGATAAAAACACACATCATAACAATAATGTATACTTAATATTATTTCATTGTGAGGCACCTACCTACCTATCTCATATATATATATATATATATATATATATATATATATATATATATATATACGCGTTGGTAGGTGGGTTGGTGGATAGGTTGGTTGTTAGGTGGGTGCGTGGGTAGATGTGTAGCTAGGTGGGTGTTTGTGCAGATGATATAGATTATGCACATTTCCATTTTGCTAGCTTAGTAACTTCGAAATGTCTAGAGGGCCCATCATAGAACAAGAAATAATAGAAGCTATTTAGAAAACAAAAAGCAATAAGGCTCCAGGAGATGACAGAATCACTGCGGAGATGCTAAAGGCAGACCCAAAAATAGGTGCAGAAACTCTATCAGGGATCTTCAATAAAGTATGGAATGAAGAAAAAGTCCCAGATTCTTGGAAACGGGGAATCATCACCAAATTACCCAAAAAAAGGCGACCTTAATGTTAGTGTGAACTGGAGAGGCATTAACCTTCTGTCAGTACAAGTACAAGGAAAAGTCTTCTGCAGAGTCTTATTACAAAGAATGAGGAAAGGAATTGATGGGATCCTTCGTGAAGAGCAAGCTGGCTTTAGGGACAACAGGTCATGTAATGACCAAATATTTGTCTTGCGCAATATAGTGGAACAGTCCCTGGAGTGAAATTCGTCTCTCTACATCAAATACATAGACTTCGATAAAGCATTCGATAGCATCCACCACCCATCACTATGGAAGATACTAGAGCTATATGGCTTTCCAGGAAAAGTCATAAACATACTTAAGGACATATACTGTGACAACCAATTCTGTGGGCGACATGAAAATCAGCAAAGTGAATGGTTCTAGGCAGTAGCGTACGCAGGGGGGGAGCAGGGGGAGCGGCCGCTCCCCCTCTGGCCATTTTCAGCAAAGTGGCGCCTTTTTGGAAACTTTTTCGACTCAAATGATATTTGTTAAAAAAATATTTTTGATCGGCACATCTATGTAAATCACAAGATTTCTTTTCATGCAGCAATTAAGCATTATTTTACTAGTCTAGTAGTGTCTACGTGTACAACACGTATTTACAGCTGCATCAGTTTGCCATTCTAAAAACAACCATTACGATGCATTGCAATGTTTAAAAAAACCTCTACGGGTAGTACCACTTGGCAAGAGGGGTGTTAAGTTTAAGGCAACTGTATAATGTATTTGCTTACGAATAATTTGGGCGATAGTGATTACGATTACAAATTATATGAAACAGTTACAACCCCCTCCCCCATGGACCCCTCGGTAAAAAAAAATATTGTCATAATACCACTGCTACTTATTTAAATCTATTTCTGTAATATATATTTGAGTAATATATATTTGTGCAATATATATGTATGTTTAGAACAGTCATCTAAAAACTGACGCTATGTTCACTCTGAGTTGGTTATCTTCCCCCCCCCCCCCACCTCACCACCACAATTGTGTAGAGTGACATTAATGTCACACCTAGGTATACACTGGGTTGGATAATTGACCTAAAGTGACCGGACAGTGGTGAATGAAACATGCCGCCAGAAAATTAGCTTTTTAAACGTAAAACTGTGAATAGTGTTTTTGCAATTACCAGTAAAAAGGTGTGTGATCAATACAGTGATCTAACCCATACCTATCACTATGTTAAAAATGATCTTTAAAGAACACAAAGAAGCAGTAGTTAATTAAAAATATATAATCTGAACCAGAGGCGTAGCAAGGGGGGGGCGGGGGTGCGGACCGCACCGGGTGACACCATTTAGGGGGGTGACACCAAGGCAAAAAATAGTAAAATATATAGAGAAAAATTTGAGGGGGGAGGGTGCAAATCGAAAGTTCGAGGGGGGTGCAAATCGAAAGTTTGAGGGGGGGGTGCAAATCGAAAATTGAAAGTTTGTCGCCGGGAAGAGTCGCTACGCCTTTGGGGGGGGGGGCGGTGACACCATTAAGTGCCGCACCGGGTGACACCCGACCTTGCTACGCCATTGATCTGAACAAAAAGACCAATAATTAATTCAATGTAGGCTGTTAATCCGAATGTTTTTCAATTATATTGAAAAGCGTGCTTTTATACCAACTCTGATTTTAAAAACTTTCATTATGCTGTAATACGTTAGCATTTATGATGACGATATATTAAATTCTGATTGTAGACAAAAACATTTGTAAAAACGAATAGTGCTAAACAATTACATTATATTCTAAAGTAATTATTTATTTGTTTTGACATTTTATATAATTAAATGTGTAGATATATACATATTTATATCAAGAGAGTGATTATTTCCCCTATTTCACTTGTCTTAAATAATTTCCCAGGAATTATTATGTAAGATCTTTTTTTACAAGTATTACAAAACAGATTGTGTTACGTTCATTGTTTTTGGTTGTAGTGTGTGTATATTTTTTTGTTTGTTTAGATTGATACCATTTTTGTTTTGTCGGCCTATATTGTGTGTTTTTTTTTCTTATTCTTCAGAGTGCTAGTAATATATATATATATATATATATATATATATATATATATATATATATATATATATATATATATATAATACACGTATATAGAACGTGTTAAAAATTCGGCGCCTTTTTTTGCTCTTTTCGCTCCCCCTACAACGAAAACCTGGATACGCCTCTGGTTCTAGGTAAAAACAGGAGTCAGACAGGGCTGTGTCATTTCACCTGTCATCTTTTTGGTGGTAGTAGATTGGATTATGAGAAGAGCCACTGAGGATAAGCCAAGAGGAATTGTTTGGGAACTTACCAACCACCTGTAGGACTGTGACTTTGCTGATGACTTGGCTTTACTCTCATATGCCCAAAAAGACATCCAAGCACACAAAAAATAGAGCAAATTGCTAAAAGCGTTGGGCTAAAGAATATCTCCGGGAAAACCAAGCTAATG